TACAGCTATAAATGCTTGCTTACATTTTAAATATTCTTATTCATTATTTTTATTGTTTTCACATGATTGGCAAATGCATCCAAATTTAATACAGATAGAATATAGTAAATTATGACTATTTTAACATTTGATAAAGGTAATTTAATCAATTTCACTATTAAAAACACATTCATCACATAAATCAGGACAATTATGACACTAACTTATTTTCAAATAAAATCCTTTATTACATTATGTTTCCCATCATCTTACAATGAAAACTTTATTGATCATAATTTATTTGAAACAATTCTTAATATTTATAGTCTAAATATTTTTCAAAATAAAAAAGAGTCATCACGAAAAAATTCAATATCGCATATAGGTAATATATACCAATTTTAAGAGTTTGATAGACAGTTAAAAAATTGTAATGTATAATTATTTTAACCAAAATAAAGGCTTATATTATATATCCTTAATACCATTAAATATATCATGCTTCAAATTCACCATAATGACACTTTGTGTAAATTTAGATTTATCTTAGAATAGATTCTTTGTACAACAATTATCCGTAAATCAATTTACTTTGAAAATTTTCTAAAAAATAATTATATTCAAGATATTTGCAAACAAAATCGACAGTTTTACATAAACATAAATTATATTCAGATAAGAGAATTATATTTTATTCTTCATAACAAGATAAACAATTATTAAATAAATAGCTTGATATGGAATTATCTCATTTACTTTTTTTTCTATTTCAAATTATATAAGCTTTTTGGAAAATTATTGGGTTCTAACTTCTGCAACAATTTGTTATTGTTTTGCTTAGGATGATATGAAGATCTTCTATTTAAAAACTATTAGTGGATTTTAACTGTTTGCATATTATAAGACATCTTTCAGCCTAAGAAGATTTAAATTTAATTGTTTCAAAATTTAATTTTTTCTATAAAGGAGAATTATAATACAAGCTTCAAGATGCAAATATATATCAGATTTATCTTTAGTTATAGACCTAAGACAGGCTAAAAAGAATTGATGAATCATATCAAATTCAAGTATTTGTGTTTATAAATGTTAATCCTTTAAATGGACAATTATTTGACATAATTTAAATAATTTTTTAATAGAAATTGAAAATGTAAATTAGATGTACGTAAGGTGATCATCGAAATCAATCAATAATAGGATGTTGCATAGATAATTAATGTTTAAATTAAAGACCTTATTGTAATTCTTGTTTGCCTAATCATATTGAACATCTTAACAAATTAATATCTTTAGAAGTTTTAGATGAATGGATTTAACAAAGAATCCTTTGTGTTCAAAATGTTAAAAACAATGTTATACAGTGTAAATTATCAATTGATAGTCTTATTACCTTGTTGATTCCTTATTTAAATTTCAATATCCAATAATACTCAGAAATTGGTATTTCTTAAATTGATAACCTTATTAAAGGTTTAACTTAAGTAGAAAAGTGTGAGTAAATATTATTTAAACAACTTGAATAATCCATCCAATAAAGCAAAAATATTATAGATTAAATATTAAAAAACTTAAAGACTTAAACAAATTAGAAAGAAAAGAATACTTTTTCACTTATAAATTTTAACAGAAAGCCATAAATATTAGAGAATCCAAGTATCTTTAAAGAAAATTTGGACAAATTCACTTTTGAGATCATCAATGAAAACACAATTAAGTAAAATGATTTGTGTTATGCTTTTGATTTTAATAATGATTAATCAATTGTGTTAGCTGGATGTGCTAACAACATATAAATATTTCAACATTATTAAGGGTAATTGAATCAAATTTAATTGTTAAAAGAGCATAAAGATAGAGTTTTGACTTTAAATTTTATGAAAAAGACCAATAATTTTGTATCTGGAAGTCGAGACAATTCAATTATAATATGGTAGGTGATTAGATATTAATAATGGAATTCTTAATAAATATTAAATGGACACTCAGATTGGATATTCTGTTTATTGTTAAATAATACTGATGATTTAATAATTTCAGGAAGTAGAGATAAAACAATAAAATTTTAGATGAAATAGAATAATAAATGGTTGTGTTCATAAACCATAACTGATCATACAGATTGGGTATATTCTTTAAGTCTAAATGAACAATAAAATAAATTGATATCTTGTTCACAAGATAAATAAATATTAATAATAGAATAATCTAATTTAAATAAATAATGGAGTGTTAAATAAAAGATATAAGTTGATGAATTTGGAATTAGATTATGTTTTATTAATGATAATGAATTTACATTCTAACCTTACACTTAAGAATAAATGCACATATATGAATTGGATACGATAAATAAATAATATAGGAAGACTAAGCAAATTGCTGTATAATGTGGTTCAATTGATTGTGATTGTTTGTTTCCTTAATAATACTTAAAATCAAAATGCCTACTGATTAATAAGAATGGCAAGAATATTAATATAATATAAAAGAAACAAAATGGTGACTTTATAGTTTTATAATCTATTCAATTTGATAGCTATTATATCTATGGAGAATTAAGTGGTGACGGAGAATATTTGATCACTTGGGACGGTAACTCAAAGACAATCTAGATAAGAGAAAATAAGAAATTATGAGCTTTTTAATATAAAAAATATAAAATATGTTAGAATATTTAATTTATTTAATATTCAATATCTTAATATATTATGCTTAATTTTATGAAATTTTAGTAATTATTAGTGACTTTTTGTAGGAATTCACTAAAAAGAAATGAGTGATCAAAAAAATAATTGAATTGATGATTTTGTTTAGATAATTTTATGAGGTGATTAAATTTGAATACTTTTTTGAAAGGTAGGGGTAAGGGGTTGGTCCCAGTGGGTAGAAGAGAAAAAAAATGGAAAAA